GAATGAATTAAAAAGATCTCAATTACGAAATAGACTAGAAAATAGTGAAAATAATACATATAGCTCTAATATGACATTATTTGACAATGTTAATACTCAATGTTTAGTAGAGACTTTGTCGGATCATTTAGTATACAATACTCCAGAAATAACATTTGTTTTTTTCGACTTAGAGAATGGTGGATTTCATATCAGTAAAGATATTTTACAAATAGCTATGATAAGCGAAAATTTATTTCTTAGTACGTATATTACACCTGTGGCGCACTGGTCACATACGCTCTCGCCGATTCGTACCCCGAGTCATATTTCCCGCGAATCGGCCTCGGACATTTCCGTGACGAGTCGCTCGTGTACGGGCGTCGCGAGCGGAGGAGAGAGCTCTTCTCCCGGCTGGACGTTTTGAGAGGCAGTTGTTCGAAAACGCGCGTTGTCAAAAGAAAGGTTGATAAAAGTATTTTTATCGAGTTCACGATGAATATAACCGTCTTGTCATTTCAAGTCGACCCTCACGCCAAACTCCTATTCGCACAATTGATAGTTCAGCATCAAGAGTAAATAGGCTAACAAAAGTAAGAAAACAATTGTTTTTTGCTGGAAACGCTGTACTTTCTCAATCGCGTAAAAATGTATCAAAAAATCTAATTGAATATTTACAAATGTTGAATAAAACGTGCATATTAATTGCACATAATTGTAAACTTAATTCAACTCGATTAATTATTTTTTTAAAAGAATGTTCTGTTTTACAAGAATTTACGCAAGTTGTTCATGGTTTTACAGATACTTTAACTTTGTTCAAGAAATATTATCCTAATTCACATTACATTATCAGTGTTAGCTCATGAACTAATGGCCTTACCTTGTGATGGCGCACACAACGCTAAAGTAGATATTCAACTAGTAGAACAATTAACAATTAATAAACATAGTACTAGTGATTTGGACTTCCGTTTCCGGAGTGTGTGGAAAAGGAGTGAATTTTGTGAACCTTTGAGAGTGCGAGTGATTATAGGGTGGAAAGGGAGAGGAGGGGTGAGAGAATAGGGTGTGTGAGGTAGGTAGGTAAGGGCTGAGGATAAGGCAGATAAGAAAGCGAGAGATTGGTGCGGAGGTTGAAGGGGTAGGTGGAGCGGAGAAAAAAAAAGGAAGAAGAAGAGAAGTATAGTAAGAAAAGGAAAAGAGGAGTATGGAACGAAGGGAGGAAAAAGCGGAGGGGGGGGGGAATAAGACGCGAGGAAAAGGGGCAGGAAGACAAACGCTGAAAGGCTGATGAGGGAGAGGGGAGCCTTGGGAGGGAGCTACGGGGACCTGAACGAGATCTGGAAAAGGAAAAGGCAGTTGACGGAGGAGGAAGAGCAGGAGGAACAGGAGGAGGAGTGGATGTTCAGGAAAAGCAAGAGGGTGGTGAGGTCGTCGGAGAGTAAGGCTGGGGGGAGGGGAACGTGGAGGAATTGTTGAAGGAATGGAGAGAATGGAATGGAAGGAAACGAAAAAGGACATGGGCAGTAGGAGCGGAGGTCGGAAAGATAAGGGAGGAGATGAGAAGAGGAGAGGAAAGATGGAGAGAGGAGAAAGAGAGGATGGAGAAAAGGTTAGGAGAGGCGGAAGGAAAGCTGAGAGAGTTAGAGGGGGCAAAGATGAGGATGGAGGAGATAGAAAAGAGGGTAATGAAGGTGGAAAGGGAGAGAGGAAGGGAGGGATGGGAGAGGAAGGGAGGACGGAGCGAGGTGGGGCGGGAAGAGGGGGTAGAAAAGAGGCTGAAGGAGATAGAGAAGAAATTAGAGAGAAAGGAAAAGGAGGTAAAGAGAAACAATATAATAATAAAGGAGGCAGAGGCGGAGGGAACAGCAGAGCAGGTAGTGGAAAAACTAATGGCAAGGATCGGAGTGAAGGGAGGGATAGAGGGAGCAAGGGAGTTGAGGAGACTAGGGGAGGGGGGAAGAGGGAGGATGATAGAAGTAAGCAGGGTGCGCATAATTTTTCCCTCGGCCGGAAAGTGGGGACGACGCGACCATGGTGGGACTGGTACTTGATGGGGGTATGCTAGGCATGGTCAGCGAAGGCACATGAGGGAAATAGTAGTGGGGATCGAAATACGGGCGAAAAAGAGGGGAAGCGAGGAAAAATTATGCGCACCCTGGAAGTAAGGCTGGAGAACGCAGGGAAGAAAGAGGAAGTGATGAGGAACAAGTGGAAGTTGCGGGGGAGGAAGGAGAGAGTAGAAGAGGACTTAACGTGGGAGGAGAGAAGGGTTCAGTGGAAGTTGAGAAAGAGAGGAGACGAGGAGAGGAGGAAAGGGAGACAGATGAGGGTGGGGCTGGGGAGGATCATAGTGGAGGGAAAAGTGTGGGTGTGGAACGAGGAGCGTGAGACAGTGAGAGACAGATGGGGGAGAGAATGGCCGGAGAAGAGGAGGTTCGGGGGTGAGGAAGTGGAGAGGAATGAAAAAAACGGGGAGAGAAGGAGGGAGGCGGACAGAGAGGGAGGAGAGGAAGCAGGAAGGAAAAGGGGAGAGGCGAGAGGGGGCAATTGGAAAATAGGTTTCTGGAACGTGACGGGAATAGAGAATAAAGACAAGGAAGGAAATAGGAGAGTGGGAGGTGATAGCGCTGATAGAGACCTGGCTAGAGGAGAAGAGATGGGGAAAAGTAGCGAACAGACTGCCGAAGGGATACAGGTGGAGTAGGCAGTGGGCGAAGAGGAGGAACTAGAAAGGAAGGGCAATAGGGATGAGAGAGGAAAGGGAGGAAGAAAAAGAAATTGAGGGGCTGATGGTGAGAGAAGTCAGAGCGGGAGAGGAGGAGTGGAGGGTGGTAGCGGTGTATGTAAACGGGGACATGGACAGGAAGCTGGAGGAGCTGAGGGGATGGATGGAGACACGGACAGGGAAGGAGAGGGGTATTGTAGGGGGCGATTTTAACGCGAGGGTAGGGAAAGAAGGAGGAAAAGTAGGAGGACCGGAGGAAGAAGGGGAGAGAAAATCGAAAGATGGCAAGGTGAACAGCGAGGGAAAGAAACTGATCAAGCTGATAGAGGAGGTAGGATGGGGGATTTTGTACGGAAATGTAGAGGGGGACGAGGAGGGGGAATTCACGTATACAGGTGGGAAAGCGGAGACAGTAATAGATTACACGATGGTGGAAGAAAGCACGAGGGAGGAGATAGAAAAGATGGAGGTGGGGGAAAGGGTAGAATCTGATCATCACCCACTGATAGTCACGGTTAAAAGGGGTAAGGGGGTGAGGAGAAAGGAGGAGAGGAGAGAGAGCAAAGTAGGGAGTGGACGATGGTCGCAAAAAATTAAGGAAGAATTCGAAAAGGGAATGGCAGAGAAGAGAGTGGGGGAAGGGATACAGGAGATGGTGAATGAGAC